ATGAGGAAGAGAGAAGGGCTGCTACCATCACCTACTCTCTCTCTCTCTCTCTCTCTCTCTCTCTCTCTCTCTCTCTCTCTCCAGTTGACACTCACTTAAAGAAGTTATACTCAGGATCTCTCTCGGGGATCTTGACCGAGAATATATGTAAATGTAATTTTTTCTTGACTAACACTAGACGAGGAATGGAGGTAACCCCTTGATTTCACCCCGTTGGTTTAACAGGTTTTATTTTTAGGTTTTAGCTGTGTATAAGGTTTAGCTGTATAAGGTTTAGCTGTGGATAAGTTATAAGGTTAGCTGTGTATAAGGTTTAGCTGTATGAGGTTCAGCTGTGTATAAGGTTTAACTGTAAAAGGTTTAGCTGTGGATAAGTTATAAATACAGCTGAGTATAAGGTTAACTGTGTATAAGGTTTAGCCGTCTGAGGTTTAGCTGTACAAGGTTTAGCTGTGGATAAGTTATAAGGTTAGCTGTGTATAAGGTTTAGCTGTATAAGGTTTAGCTGTGGATAGGTTATAAATGCAACTGTGTATAAGGTTAACTGTGTATAAGGTTTAGCCGTCTGAGGATTAGCTGTATAAGGTTTAGCTGTATAAGGTTTATCTCTGGATAAGTTATAACTCCAGCTGAGTATTAGGTTAACTGTGAATGAATTTAGCGATGTATAAGTGTTAAGTGTTTAGCTGTGTATAAGTGAATATAACTCTAGCTAATAATAAGCTAAGCTGTGTATAACTCTCTATTAGCTTAACTGTATAGATTTAGATTTGTATTAAGCTAGAGTGTATAAATTGAACTGTGTTTAAGTTTAGCTTCGTATAAATTCAGCTACGTGTAAGTTTAGCTGTATGGTGATAGTGTTAGGAATCGTCTCTTCCTCAACACAACGGGTCGGGTCGGGTCGGGTCGGGTCGCAAAAAACCCCAAATAATTCCCCCTAAAACTCAGTAAACGTCTGTGTGTTACACGGCCTTGACAAATGAATAGTTCGTAAATACATAAAACAAACAAACAAATAAAAAAAAACCCATACTGTTGATTTATAGAACAAAAAACCAAAAAAAAAAACGAAAAAATAACGAACAAACATTGGAACCACCTTGAGCCATAACTCCCACGGGTACATCCAGACTAAAGCTGCATCTCAGGTTTCTGGTCAAAAAAATAAAAATAAAAAAATAAAAAAGAACAAGTAGTGTAGTCACATTACATTCAGGGGAGGAGAGGGGAGGGAGGGGGAGATAGTCTCTTTATCCCTTCTTCTTTAATATGTTGACTTAATCAATATTCGCCGTGAGCCGGAACAGCGTCTTTGAAACAGCTAGATTAACTCTCTTCTTCTTCTTCTTCCTCCTCCTTCTCCTTTCCCTCCTCCCTCTTTTTCCTCTTCCTCCTTTTCCCTCCTCCTTCTCCTTTCCCTCCTCCCTCTTTTCCCCCTTCCTCTTCCTCCTTTTCTTCCTCCTCCTTCTCACTCTTTTCCTTTCTCCTCCTCTTCCTCTTCATCCTCCTCTTTCCTCTTCTTCCTCCTCCCTTTCCCTATCCTTCTTTCTCCTCCTCTTCTAATTTTCATTACAGTATTTACTCAACTTAAAATATTTTAGTTATACGCCTGTAACACACTCACTAGGTCCCTGGTACTTCCCTGGTCATCTGTCACAACACCTGAAGGTCCTTAGTACCTCCCTGGTCACCTGTAACACACTCACTAGGTCCCTGGTACCTCCCTGGTCATGTCACAACACCTGAAGGTCCTTAGTACCTCCCTGGTCACCTGTCACACACTCACTAGGTCCCTGGTACCTCCCTGGTCATGTCACAACACCTGAAGGTCCTTAGTACCTCCCTGGTCACCTGTCACAACACCTGAAGGTCCTTAGTACCTCCTGGTCACCTGTCACAACACCTGAAGGTCCCTAGTACCTCCCTGGTCACCTGTCACAACACCTGAAGGTCCCTGGTTCCTCCCTGGTCACCTGTCACAACACCTGAAGGTCCCTGGTACCTCCCTGGTCACCTGTCACAACACCTGAAGGTCCCTGGTACCTCCCTGGTCACCTGTCACAACACCTGAAGGTCCCTGGTACCTCCCTGGTCACCTGTCACAACACCTGAAGGTCCCTGGTACCTCCCTGGTCACCTGAAGGTCCTTTAGGATCCTCAATAAACTGATCAGAGGAAGGTAGCCCCCAGGTGCTCTGGTAGGGTGCCAAGTTCCCTAAGTTGCCTCTCAGCTGAATCCGCAAGTGCCTCTAAGTGCCATCAAAGTTGGTGCCACGATTCACGCACTTACTGCCGAGGTGCGACACACACACACACACACACACACATATATCTATTATACTCTCGTTACCTGATAATTGACTTGAAGCATCACTGATAATTACAGGTAAACAGTAATAGAGGGAGACATTATTAACGTATTGGGCCTCTACTTAAGTGAAAGGATGTTGCCCCTCCTCTCCTTCCCCGTCTCCCAAACACCCATCTCCTCCTTACCCCTCCCCAAACACCCCTTCCTTCATTCCCCCTCCCCATCACACCTACTCTGCTTCCCCTTCCCCTCTTCCCGTCATTCCTCCTTCACCAACACCCTCCTCCCCCTCCCTAACACCCCTCCCTTCATCCCCCCTTCCCCTCATCACCCCTCCCCCCTCACACAGCTGACCAACTCGTGTAACTCTTATAAATTACACAGAACTTTCCTAATGGTCCTTCAGTTTCACACAATAACACGACAAGGCACACAAGTTCGTCTCTACCTTCATAGTGCTGATGGTCTCAAACATTATAATTTACATCATTTACCTAAAACAATATTCACACTAAATTCTTATTATATCATTTTAGAAAGTTTGTTTTACGTAATGTGTGCAAGAATTAAGACTCTTGGTAGTGTAGGGTGTGTGGTAGTGTGGGGTGTGTGATAGCGTGAGGTGTGTGTGGGAGGGTTGGTACCTGGACGAGAGACTAACTTGGCTGGGCTTCCCGGTTTAGAGGAAGCTGTGTCATCAGAATTATCCCTGTCAAGAGCATCTCAATTTGCTGACGGTCAGATAATGGTTTCCAAGTCGGTGGGAAGATATTAGATAATGAACGTGAGGTGAAGTTAGAACACCTAGTTAGGTTAGGTTAGGTTAGGTTAGGTTAGGTTAGGTTAGGTTAGGAGGCTATATTATATAATGCACTTGACATCTCGTTTGAACAGTTACTTAACCTTCTTTTTCGCTATTATAAAAAAATAATACTTTTCAAAATACATCCTAGTACTTTTAAAACGCAAAAGTATGTAAGTGATAAATGCTTCAAAAAATACTTGTATCAGGTGAATATTGTAATGTTTATCCCTTTGAGTACTATAACTAAATCCCTCTGAGTACAATGTCATCATACTCAAGGGTGTAGGTCATCGTCTTCAATGAGATAAGATATCACACTGTATGGATTAAGTCATTGTACACAAAGGGTTAAGGCACTGTATGGAAAGGGTTAAGATATCACACTGTATGGATTAAGTCATTGTACACAAAGGGTTAAGGCACTGTATGGAAAGGGTTAAGATATCACACTGTATGGATTAAGTCATTGTACACAAAGGGTTAAGGCACTGTATGGAAAGGGTTAAGATATCACACTCATTGGGCGGCGTACTCAAGGGGTTAAGATATCTTATTCACAGGGTTACTTTATCGTCCTCAGGGTGATCGTACTCTCTGGGTTGGTGTCGTACTCAAGGAATGGCGAGAGTAGATGGCAAAATAATAAAATTAATTACAGGAAATCCGTTAATGTGTTTGTGTGTTTTGAGGAAGAAAAGTTTCAGGTAAGGTAAACAAACACACTCACCTGAGACATAAAGGTAAACACACATACTCACCTGAGACATAAAGGTAAACAAACACACTCACCTGAGACATAAAGGTAAACAAACACACTCACCTGAGACATAAAGGTAAACAAACACACTCACCTGAGACATAAAGGTAAACAAACACACTCACCTGAGACATAAAGGTAAACAAACACACTCACCTGGGACATAAAGGTAAACAAACACACTCACCTGAGACATAAAGGTAAACACACACACTCACCTGAGACATAAGGGTAAACAAATACACTCACCTGGACATAAACAAACACACTCACCTGAGACATAAAGGTAAACACAACACACTCACCTGGAGACATAAAGGTAAACAAACACACTCACCTGAGACATAAAGGTAAACACACACACTCACCTGAGACATAAGGTAAACAAACACACTCACCTGAGACATAAAGGTAAACACACACACTCACCTGAGACATAAAGGTAAACACACACACTCACCTGAGACATAAGGTAAACAAACACTCACTGATGTATTAGGTAAACAATGGTCTTCGCTGGGAGGGGGTATAAAAGGTCAACTCAGGTCATCATGTTGTTTACAGCACATGATTGGTATGACCTATTCCCCTGGGTCAATAATGGTCCCTTAAAGACTATATATATATAAAGACTTAATTATTTGGTTATTCTTGGGAGATATTTTTATCACTGGGTCACTTAATGCTCGTCAACATTTTCTCATCTGTTCTGTTCTTTAGGGAGATATTGTTTTAGGCATTTTTTAAATGTTAATTATTTCTGATATTTGTAATTATAAAAAAAAATAGCTGCCACTTTCACCTATTCTGGAAACTTAGAGAAATTTGTGGTTATAACACGATATCACTTCACCTTACAAAAACAAGACACGAAAAATGCTTGAGAGCTTGTCAGAGAGAAGACCGGGACTACCTACAAGCCTCCAGAACGCCTGTCTAGAACATGCACACACACACACGCCTTCCAACATACACCAGCCCTAACACTTACCATTTTCTCTCAACGTGTCAATTTAACATGTCTGTAATGGTCTGTATGTCTTTCTGTATGTCTGTACACCAAATATTGTATGCATGATAACTCGTGCGTGTTATATTCAATGTTGTTTTCACGTTGAACACAGATGGCTCAGACCATCGGAGTTGTTGCAGCCAGAAGCGAGTCCCCAGGCCGTGTCTAGACTGGTGCCGTGGCGAACCCGTGCCTCACCTCCACCTGTGTGAGCTAATGTGGGCACCTATCATCATCTCCTGCTTTAATGAGGGACAAGGTAAGACTCTCTTAACCCCTTGTGTACGGGGTCACGTCTGTGCTGAATATAATCTCTGCCCTAGTGAAGGTGTTACCAGTACAATGTTTCTCTGGTTGACTGCAAATATATGCTTATTTAGCTAATCCCCAAAAAGTATCGAAATTCCAGGGACCGATAGAATAGAAAATGAACGAAAACTTCAGATGTGTTCATGTATCGGTTGTGTTGGGTTTGCCTTGGTCGCCCAGTGTCTCATATTCTTTCAGACACTTGGGGTCTCGATACTTTTTAGGGACATCTACCATCTGGGTCATTATGTTGATGATATAGTGCAACATCTTCCCTTACAAATGTTGAAACAAAAGACTATCCAATTTATTCCTCACTGCAGTTTTATACGATAAATGAAAGCCACATGCAAGACCCTAAATATTCAGAGAGACACAATTTTTACAAGTACTATGTAATAACTAGGTGCCGGTGCTTTGGTTAGATTAAGTTAGATTAAGTTTGATTTATGACTTTTTTGTGTAACTTTCTTCTGTTCTCCCTCTCACTCTCAAAGCGACCCACTTATTATCATTCATTTTGGACATTAACCAACTACAGACATCTCTCTCATCCTCAGACCAACTGCCAGGGCCGCCTCTCAACGTGCGTGTGGTCACCTCCGGCCCTAACGCTGCCAAAGTCTCCTGGGAACCTCCAACCAAGAACCCTGATGTTGTCGAGCTATACAGGTAGGTGTGTGTGTGTGTGTGTGTGTGTGTGTGTGTGTGTGTGTGTGTGTGTGTCATGGATTTGAACGAAATAAATCCAGAGAGAAAAAGCAATACCACCCACGTTTATTATGAACAGCAGAATTAATTTTCACAATTTCATAGGAATCATTGAGGACTCAGCTTTAAATTAAATTAATCAGTATTCAGCCAAGCATAATAAGTGTAAGTCATTTGGATCACTAAGAACCAAACTATGAAACTGGGTCGTAAAACATATCCATTCATTAATGATGTAAAAAAATGGGAAATGAAAAATGAAAATTACTAAAAAAAAAATGAGATTGAATGTTTAACTTTGAGAGAACGAAAACGCCCCCAATAACACAACACGTCATGTACAGTCACACAAAAACTATCTGTACTCGGGGTGATCGATGAATTACAGAATGAACACCGTAACTTCTGTTGTCTCGGTAGGGTTGTCAAAATCCTTCGTCTGTTGTGTCATATTTTTCAACACAATGTTGTATCGATAGTTTATTTGAGTGACTGTACCTGAGCTGTACCTTGGTATGAGAGACAATCGTGTCTTCCTGTATTAATTAAGCTGAAAATAAGCTTAAAAAGGAAAACTAAATCCTTCATGGAAGATGAAAGAGTAACAAGCTTCAAGGGTCACATTGAGATGGATAACTTGAGGTCGATCACTACGAGAAGCTGATGGTGATTAGATGAGATGAAGTAGCTAAGTGAAGAAAAGTGAAGCACCAAGTGAAGAAGAGTGAAGCACCAGGAGACGAAGAGTGAAGCACCAGGTGATGAAGAGTGAAGCACCAGGTGAAGAAGAGTGAAGCACCAGGTGAAGAAGAGTGAAGCATCAGGAGACGAAGAGTGAAGCACCAGGTGATGAAGAGTGAAGCACCAGGTGAAGAAGAGTGAAGCACCAGGTGAAGAAGAGTGAAGCACCAGGTGAAGAAGAGTGAAGCACCAGGTGAAGAAGAGTGAAGCACCAGGTGAAGAAGAGTGAAGCACCAGGTGAAGAAGTGAAGAGTGAAGCACCAGGTGAGAGAAGAAGCACAGAGTGAAGCACCAGGTGAAGAAAGAGTGAAAGCACCAGGTGAAGAAGAGTGAAGCACCAGGAAAGAGTGAAGCACCAGGTGAAGAGTGAAGCACCAGGTGACAGAAGGGTGAAGCACCAGGTGAAGAAGAGTGAAGCACCAGGTGAAGAAGAAGAGTGAAGCACCAGGTGAAGAAGAATGAAACAGGTGATGAAAGAGTGAACCACCTGGTGAAAGAAACACCAGGTGAAGAGTGAAGCACCAGGTGATGAAGGTGAAACACCAGGTGAAGAAGGTGAAGCACCAGGTGAAGAAAAGAGTGAGAAGGTGAAGCACCAGGTGACACCAGTGATGAAGTGAAGCACCAGGTGAAGAAAGTGAAACACCAGAGTGAAGCTAAGAATGAAGCACCAGGTGAAGAGAGTGAAGCACCAGCTGAAGAAGAGTGAAGCACCAGCTGAAGAAGAATGAAGCACCAGGTGAAGAAGAGTGAAGCACCAGGTGATGAAGAGTGAAGCACCAGGTGAAGAAGAGTGAAGGACCAGATGAAGAAGAGTGAAGCACCAGGTGAAGAAGAGTGAAGCACCAGGTTAAGAAGAGTGAAGCACCAGGTGAAGAAGAGTGAAGCACCAGGTGAAGAAGGGTGAAGCACCAGGTTAAGAAGAGTGAAACACCAGGTGAAGAAGAGTGAAGCATCAGTTAGATGAGATGAAGTAGCTAAGTGAAGAAAAGTGAAGCACCAAGTGAAGAAGAGTGAAGCACCAGGAGACGAAGAGTGAAGCACCAGGTGATGAAGAGTGAAGCACCAGGTGAAGAAGAGTGAAGCACCAGGTGAAGAAGAGTGAAGCATCAGGAGACGAAGAGTGAAGCACCAGGTGATGAAGAGTGAAGCACCAGGTGAAGAAGAGTGAAGCACCAGGTGAAGAAGAGTGAAGCACCAGGTGAAGAAGAGTGAAGCACCAGGTGAAGAAGAGTGAAGCACCAGGTGAAGAAGAGTGAAGCACCAAGGTGAAGAAGAGGAAGCACCAGGTGAAGAAGAGTGAAGCACCAGGTTAAGAAGAGTGAAGCACCAGGTGAAGAAGAGTGAAGCACCAGGTGAAGAAGAGAAGATCAGGTAGAAGGAGTGAAGCACCAGGTGAAGAAGAGTGAAGCACCAGGTGAAGAAGAGTGAAGCACCAGGTGAAGAAGAGTGAAGCACCAGGTGAAGAAGAGTGAAGCACCAGGTGAAGAAGAGTGAAGCACCAGGTTAAGAAGAGTGAAACACCAGGTGAAGAAGAGTGAAGCATCAGTTAAATTAGAGTGAAGCACCAGGTGACATCATCAAAGAAGCTGGGGGAGAATTACTAAGCATTTTACACAGCTGTCCATGAAAAGCCAAGACAGAGAGAGAGAGAGAGAGAGAGAGAGAGAGAGAGAGAGAGTATAAGAGAATCAGACAGTTGGAAAAATCCCATTGTCTTATTTCTCTTCATAAAAGGAATTATTAAAGTCTTAGAAGAATAGATACTAATTAGTCTTCTTCCAGTTCTACATTAAAATCCCTCAAGAAGAAAAAAAATGAAAAAAAGACTTCAATAACAACAAAAGAGACCAGGCAGTATTAAGTAGTAAATGAGGTACTCGCTCCAAAAAAGTATCTTTACCATTTTGTGTTGAGACAATATGAAACAACGGACGAAGGATTTTGACAACCCTACCGAGACAATAGGAGTCGTATTGTTCGTTGTGAAATTCATCGATCACCTCCGTGAAGATATTTTTTTGGGGGGGGGTGAGTTTATACCACATATAACGTGACCATAGAAACAGTGAACATAAATTATAATGGAATCTAAAAGAAACTAATTGAGGTATAATTTAATTTTCTTCTTACAAAACAACTAAAGGAAATAATCACAGTTTACCCTCATACATTAACACATTCTTCTCTTGAGCTATTAAGTGCCTGGAGTAATTTAATTAACCACATTAATTCTACAGTAATAAACAATTCAAAATGAGAATTAAACATTACATATTAAATGAAGATACAGGAAGAGAGGAGAGTAATTTTTTTGTTTACAGTAATAATCCCTGAGTGTTTGTATTGTAGAAAATACCCATCAGTCTTAAGTACTGTAAGTCCTATGTAGTGGGAATATTTAGTGCTTCTATATTTTGTAGTAGCCAAAGTAACCTCGTCTCTCCCTAATGATTTAAGTAAATTTGAGTTAGTTTATAAGCCATTCAGTTAAGGCGAAATAAATGTTAATGTAAGAGCCGTTTATGTGATTTAGTTAACTTGGTTTTCCTAATGAGGGAAAAATTCTGGTACTAAATACAATATAATAAAAAAAAACAGCAAAAAACTGATGAAATGCAACGTAATATAAGGTTACACACACACACACACACACACACACACAGAGTAAGCGTGTGTGTGTGTGTGTGTGTGTGTGTGTGTGTGTGTTAACAATTCTATCACGAGTATAGTTACATAAATAGTAAAATAAAGGCGTTTGTTTCGTGTTTGTTGCCGTAGTAAAATAAAGACGTTTCTTTCGTGTTTGTTGCCATAGTAAAATAAAGATGTTGACTTCGTGTTTGTTGCCATAGTAAAATAAAGATGTTGACTTCGTGTTTATCGCCAGAGTGTTTTGGCGACCTTTGGGTGAGCGCGCTGCCTTGAAGAACGACACATCACAGAACGAACTCTTGATCAGTGGGCTGGAGCCAGACATCATGTACGAGATAGCTGTCAAGGCCGGTAACCACAAGGGCACCTCAGTCCTCACTCCCACCATCAACTTCACACATCAACTTAGTTACATCAGCTCAGAAGCTACATCAGGTAAGTTGGTATATAATTTTTATATTTTCCGTTGACAATAACACCAATAACGAAATTATTAACAATGATTGAACAAATAATAATAAATTTTGTTGAATATATTTAAGTACACGATAGATGTTAATAATACAGTAATAAAGGAGGATGTGTGAGGCAACTGTATGAGTCAAGCCCTGAGTACAGACAATGAATCGCTGTAACATTCCATTTATTTTTTCCTTAATGTGAAGTCCAGAGTGTTGACGCAAGTACCTTAGTGACTAGGAGGGGTGAGGAGAGACCAGAGGTAGAACTGAGGTTGGGGGAGGTGTCAGGACCAGGAGAGGTGTCAGGACCAGGAGAGGTGTCAGGACCAGGGGAGGTGTCAGGACCAGGAGAGGTGTCAGGACCAGGAGAGGTGTCAGGACCAGGGGAGGTGTCAGGACCAGGAGAGGTGTCAGGACCAGGGGGTGTCCAGGACCAGGAGGTGTCCACGAGCCAGGGGTGTCAGGACCAGGAGAGGTGTCACGACCAGGGGAGTGTCACGACCAGGAGAGATGTCAGGACCAGGAGAGGTGTCAGGACCAGGGGAGGTGTCCAGGGTCAGGGAGAGGTGTCACGACCAGGGGGTGTCACGACCAGGAGATGTCGACCAGGGAGGTGTCACGACCAGGGGAGGGTGTCACGATGGGGGAGGAGTGTCAGGACCAGGGAGGTGTCAGGACCAGGGGAGGTGTCCACACCAGGGAGTGTCAGGACCAGGAGGTGCCAGCATCATCATTAGAAAGCTGTCCTCCGTGAGATTTGAGTGAGGAGCCAGCCAGTTACTCGCCTCTCCCAGCAGTGGTGAGAATAACTTCACCGCCTGCACAGCCCTCTCCCAGCAGTGAGTGAGAGACAATTATATATCACTGTCTCTCCCAGCAGTGAGTGAGAGACAATTATACCTCACTGTCTCTCCCAGCAGTGAGTGAGAGACAATTATATCTCACTGTCTCTCCCAGCAGTGAGTGAGAGACAATTATACCTCACTGTCTCTCCCAGCAGTGAGTGAGAGACAACTATACCTCACTGTCCCTCCCAGCAGTGAGTGAGAGACAACTATACCTTACTGTCTCTCCCAGCAGTGAGTGAGAGACAACTATACCTCACTGTCTCTCCCAGTAGTGAATGAGAGACAACTATACCTTACTGTCCCTCCCAGCAGTGAGTGAGAGACAATTATACCTCACTGTGTCTCCTAGCAGTGAGTGAGAGACAATTATACCTCACTGTCTCTCCCAGCAGTGAGTGAGAGACAATTATACCTCACTGTCCCTGCCAGCAGTGAGTGAGAGACAATTATACCTCACTGTCTCTCCCAGCAGTGAATGAGAGACAATTTTACCTCACTGTCTCTCCCAGCAGTGAGTGAGAGACAATTATACCTCACTGTCTCCTCCATCAAGAAGTTCCATTAAGTTCTAAACATCATTAGAAGGTGATTATAAGTTTATCTTGACCGACACAATTGGAAATAACCCGAGTCACTTGAAGGATATTTATCCATGAAAGATGACAGTCTCAGTCGAAGAGAAACTTGATGCTTAGCGTGGAAGATACAACAAAGGAGGAGGGGGAAGGGAAGAAGGGGAGGGGAGGGGGCAGGAAGATGAGGAGGAAGGGAAGAGGAGGAGGAAGGGGGAGGAGGGGAAGGGAGGAGGGAAGGATCAATAGTGGGAGGAGACAATTAGTAGGATATAATGTTATGGTGACGGAGGGATGGGTCGGCCCTCTTCTTCCTTCTCCTTCTCCTTCTCCTCCTTCTCTTCCTCCTCCTCCCATCCTCCTCCTGTTCCCTTCCTCCTCCTGTTCCCTTCCTCCTCCTGTTTCCTTCCTCCTCCTGTTCCCTTCCTCCTCCTGTTCCCTTCTAAATCTAGGGTATGGGCTCCACATGGGCGAGAGTGAGAGGGGGCAGTCGGAGTGGGGAGGAAGAGGGCAGAGTGGGAGGGGGCAGAAGTGGTGGAGGGCGAGAGGAGGGGGCACTGTTAGGTGGTGGTCGGTCCCGTGTATAGCAAAGAAACAGAAAAAAACAATAGTTTCACGTTTAGGTTAGGTGAGGGTCGACACGTTTAGGTTAGGTGAGAGTCGACCACTGGGGCCAACCTCCCAAAATTCTACCTTTGCGATGCTATTATGTGTGTGTGTGTGTGTGTTTAATTATAGTTAATGCCACTTAATCAAACTAGATTAACCGGAAAATTAAAACTAGCTGGGGATGACTTTACGGAAATTAACCTCACATTTAAGAGCGATGTAATTAATGTTTATACAACCACTACTGAACCTCACCGACTCCCGCAACAACTCCCAATCATTACAAAGAAAAAACAACACAACAACAACAGACGAATGATAACTTTAGAACAGATATTGACAAGTGTTGGCGGACTGAAGAAGTGATCGGAAGGGAAGATCAGGTAACACTTTGGATGGATGAGACCAACAGGGGCGTTCTTGAGAGTATCCCAGGAAACAGTAAAAGACAGACGACAACTACAAGATACCTGAGCGAGAATATGAAGTGGGAATGTTTGCATTAGTCAGAAAAAGATCTACATAATATGTACTACATAAACAAATTCACACACACACACACACACACACACACACACACACACACAATTTTGTTCCTATTTTTCTTGATATAAAATCTAAGTAAGTCATAAAATTTCTCAGTAAACATAGAAATTCCAGAAAAAAAAATAAATTTCCTGAACAAACATACAAAACACATCGTCTTACATGAAAATTCTCTAAAAAACGGTAAGAATATACGACCTTTTGAAAGTGAAAACACGAAAGCTTTAATTAAGGTTTCTTGAAGCCTTGGTTTCACCTTGGAGAGGAAAAAATATGTAACGTGTACACTCGCTCCCAAAAAGTATCTTCACGATTTTGTGTGAGACAATATGACTCAACGGACGAAGGATTTTGACAACCCTACCGAGACAACAGGAGTCACAGTGTTCATTGTGGAATTCATCGATCCTCTCCGTGAAGATACTTTTTTGGAGCGAGTTACACATATCTAACTTTGCCAATTAGTGCCTGTAATCTTCACACAGAATAAATATTTCCCCTCAGACACGAGTAAAGCCTCTCAACTCTATAAGAACAGCAATATAACACTTGATACTGAAACAATTCCGTTATTGACTGATATTCTTAGAGAGCTTCTTAGTAGGAGGTGGAAATTTATAAAGAGGGGCCACCTCTCTCTCTCTCTATTTCTCGCCTCTGGAAAGGATCAATAATTAACGAGTGATTAACAAGTGAGAAGACAACGAAGCTCGCCTGGATCACGAGAAGACAAACACACACACAAGTTAGTATTGAAAACTCGGCGCGGTGTCGACGAAGACAAATCCATTGAACGCCGTATTGGGAAAGCCTGATGTGACCTGATGTAAACAATGTTGTTCTTTGGGATCTATTGTTGACGTTATCAAATCTTAGGGGTTGTGATCAGACTTATGTTTGTTAGGTTGTGATGCTCATACTCAGTGTGTTGCTGTAGTACTTCAGAATTAATTCAATACGCTCTCTCCCTCCACAGGAACATCTGGCGTGGCTGTGGCTGTGGTCACGGTGGTGGTGATCATCATCATCTGTTTAGCTGTGGTGCTGGCAGTCTTCTGGGCACGGAAAAGAAATCTCCTCGGAGGAAAGTCATCGGCTAATGGAGGAATTTCTTTCGAAAATCCTTCATACATTCGAGAGCAAAATGGTGATACCGTCCAGGTAAGATTTAATGATGAAACTCTCTATACACTCTTCAGCATTATGAATCTCACTTGTTCTAAAAAAAAGTATCTTCAAGGAGAGGATAGATGAATTCCACAATGAACACTGTGACTCCTGTTGTCTCGGTAGGGTTGTCAGAACCCTTCATCCGTTGTATTATATTGTTTCACACAAGAAAGTAATGATACTTTTCTGAAAGAAGTACAAATGTATATAGTTTGTATCAGTTTATTTATTTACTTACATTTCGGTTATTTGCTCCCGGGTTCATCCTTAAAGCTGGTGGGTTGTACAAGAGGAGAGAGAGACGTTAAAGGCATTGAAACATATCATAGTGATGATTTTCGAGAAGCTGTTTCTAAAGACATTCTGAATCAGTTTACCGAATTCTAAGTGGATGATTTTTAGTCTTAATATTACAATAGTTTTGCAAGTTACATGTTACCAGGATTTAGCGAGACCAGAGCGATAAGTAATGGTTGGCTGAGAGGAGAGTCGGGCACAGATCATACAGTCTTCAGGTTATGGAATACAAGTCTGTGATTATTTATTTATTCCTGGGTTACTCTTATTCTAGACGTTAGCACAGTGATGAAAATATTCACTACACTGTCTCACAATTTTTATTATGGTCTAAATTGGTTCTTTGTTGTTTCAAGTACAAAATGTTTCTGAGTATCTGATTATGTTATTTTTTTCTGCAATAAATTAGTTGATTTTTTCACCTAAATTTCCTGTAGTTGTAACTAAGAATTAAGGTGAAAATTAAGATGGTGTTTTTCTCTCTGTATCCAGATAGCAGAGACGCCTAACGGTAGTTTGAACGGGAACATCACTTCGGGGATGAACGGCGGCGTTAACGGTGACGTTAACGGCATGAACGGAGGCATTAAGACAGGAATTTCACCGATCGACGTGAACGGAGGCGTTTGGAACACACACAATGTGTCGCCCTCCACGCCAGGGTTCGAGGATGACCTACCAAGTAACGGAGGCTACATGAGGTTCACCAGCTAGTGATATATTTTCAGACACTGAATATAGTAGAGTCACTCTTAGAGAGAGAAAAATAAGTCTCTTCCTGTTTCTTAGCCTAGGAAGGAAGCCAAGGTGGGTCCTATAAGTGAACATAACTGATTCATTTGCGACTGGAAGTTTTAACTTGTTTGTACATCATCGTCTGCCACGTACTGGGACTTTCACTTCCTCTCTGTCGTCTTCACCACCTAACTTAGAGCATTATTCCTCAACTTTTGGCGCGAAGAAAGAAAATGGTGAGGGGCCGTAGTTAATGTGTGGGCTACAGAGTTACCCCTTGAGTGAAGAACAGCAAAATATATAAATAGGTACACAGTGCTACGTAATGGTTTAAAGTGAAGTGATCAATAAACAATTGATGATGGACAGTACTGTGGGTGATGGTTGTGACTCTTGCTGCCAGCACAGCCACCACCAGCTGCTGTTAACTTCATAAAGTGATTCATATAAAAAAACACAATCGTCGAATGCAGCATCAGTGCAAATTACATCCAATTAATTCGTTCCCATTAGTATTCCAGCAAAATATGGTCAGGTGGCGTGGTACATTGATCTGTTGCATTATGCACTGATTGGAATACAAAATGTGTTCGCTTGTTTGAATATAAATGTGATGTGTGAATGTTGTGTTTACCTTCGTATGTTCATTCTCCTGTGTGTGTGTGTGTGTGTGTGTTTGTTTATTCCTAAGTTTTTTAATACACATTGGTATGTTCGTGAAGTCGGACGCAAATGACACAAACAATAAAACGTGCTTACCTGAGAACCATACCACTTATGAAGCAAAGTGAAGCAAAAGTGTCACAACCAGACCATGAGCCAGCAGCGGTAATTTTTATTTTGTATTTTTTTCCCTTAATTGAGTGTTAGGAGTTGGTCTTGTGTTAACTCGTTGTCAGTGCCTTCGACAGGACATTGACTCACCTCATCTTACGGTAGTACAGTACAAGCTGCTCCAGACAACAAGGAACTGAACAATGGCGGAGTTAACAACCTATTTCATCCTTCAGTCGACCTATTTGTTTGTGAAACGTAAATTTAATGAAAGAATAATATCATCAAGGTACAGTGATCATCAGATGGTCACGTGGAGTATTTTTTACATCAATCAGAACTACATTAATCTCTACGTCATTCCAATTTGAGTTCCTGGTTGTCTGGAGTACAAGTTAGTTAACACAATGATAATTTTGGATAAAAAAATACTACTAGTGATTATATTAGAAAAAGAAAGAAAAAGTAATGTTGAATTTGAGAAAAACTAAAAAAAAAAATAATCCAGTATTTTATGAATGCATATATTGAGGCTGTCTATCGGTCCCATAACAGGTCTTCACTTTATTCTTGGAAAATATAAAAAAAATATTAATGATAATTGATAAACAAACAAAAAAAAATTATGTTTTCTCCAAAATGTAGGTTAGTAAGAGTGAGTGTGGTGGAGGGAGGTGGTGGAAGGGGATAAGGGGGGAGGTGGTGGAGGGGGATAAGGGGGGGAGGGGGATAAGGGGGGGAGGGGTATAAGGGGGGGTCTCGCTCACCACCAACATCCGTCTACTTCAACTCAACTTCCGTAATAAAAGATAAAAAATATTGATGTTAAAAGTCTCTCCAAAGAGTCACGTAATTAATTAACTGGACCCCAAAAAAGGTTATAACACATTGCAAATACCGTATTTAATTCAATATTTAGATGTAGGAAGCAAATGGATATTATTTAGCAATAATTGTCATATCATTCCAGAATGTTTCATATCTCTTTGATACTTGTAGATAATGGTGCACTTGTAAGTCTAGTACTGTTTAATACAACACATATTTGGACGATAGCTTTTACCAAATATGCTTCTTGGTTATGAGAGAAAAATGTTTTGATATTGAGATAAGTGACGATAGGGCGTCAAACAGCATCACTACACGAAATAAATACGGCCGTTTTAAGAGGTGCAGTGGTGCCCCAAATTCCCGGAAATGGTTCAGTATTTTGCATATTAACTGTGCCTTGGCGAGTCTTCAAACACATGTGCTTTGGTCATGGAATCATGTTGACACTGTCCACAGGATGGAACACTCAGATACATTATGGAAATCTAATTTAGTTCACAAGGGTTGATGTTTCTGAGCAGAACCGAGAGTCCTTCCAAAAAGTTACAGACGTTGACTATACATAAGTTCTTGCTTCAGTTATTAAAGCCACATGATGTCGGTTCCTTTCCAGGTCACATGTGTTGCCGATGAAAACTAATATGTCTCCTAGAGCTGATGTTCTACTGGAATGAAAGTTATTTATTGAACTGAAAAAAAAAATCTACTGAATGACGCATAAAGTCATGTGTCAGTATGAGCCGAGAGGATGACAGTCAGGGAAGGTTTATCTCGATGACAGGATTCAGAGGTTGAATATGTGACGAGATGTGTGTGTGTTTGTGTGTGTGTTAGGCAAGTGTCAGTCGATATTAGGTTCATTGATTCTGGCGACACAGTGATCCTTTTGATAGAGGATCCGACTTGCTGACCTAAGGTTGTGAGGATCCGGCAGTGATATTTGTTTTAGTAAATGTCCAATCCATTGATCCAGTACGTTGATCCAAGGTTAGGAAAAGGATTTGGAGAAGTGAGTGATCCAGATTAGTGTAGTTTTCTCGCCTGGTGGCCCGTGGATGTAGTGTAGAGCCGGTACAGTGACCCCTCGAGGTCCAGTGGTAAAGAGAGGATCCGGTAAAGTGATCCCTGGAGGTCCAATGGTAGAGAGAGGATCCGGTACAGTGATCCCTGGAGGTCCAATGGTAGAGAGAGGATCCGGTACAGTGATCCCTGGAGGTCCAATGGTAGAGAGAGGATCCGGTACAGTGATCCCTGGAGGTCAAATGGTAGAGAGAGGATCCGGTACAGTGATCCCTGGAGGTCAAATGGTAGAGAGAGGATTCGGTACACATCGGTCTGGTATGTTGTGATGTTTCGTTGTTTTAATGGGATTTTCGTGGGCATTAAGGCATTTTCTGACATTTATGGCCAAGAAGACAGAGAGTAAAAATGGTAAGAATTTATATACTTTACATCCATGTCTCAAATGATTCCTTAGTTATGGAGACTCGTGCGTTTATCCAGTATAAACAACTATTGCTTCTCTTCGTCTACACTGTTATGAAACTTGAAAAACCCACGAAAGTCATTTATCACGGAGATGACTAGAATGTCTTGGATGTCTTTATTGTTCTTTGGTGTAATACTGTAAGACATGCGAAAGGTGGTGACGCTTCAAGACACTCACTAGCTGTTGACGCACATCAATGCGGCGACCAAAGGAGTCAAGAGTGATGTTTGTAGTGTCTTCAGCCTGTGTTTAGGTGTTGTAGTTCACAAGATACCTCAGGGGACCAGGCAGTAGGTCTCAACTTCACGCCAGAATAAGATGTGGAGACAATCTGCGACAGGATTTGTTATCTCCCCTAAAGGTCAACATCAGCTGGACGTAATGATGGTGATGAACAACTCAACCGATACTGTTGTATTGTCTTGCTTGCTTTGATATTCTTTAATATATTGTGTTAATAAATCTTGAGACATGTGTTTAAACTTGAGAGAATTAACATAAAGAATATAGGAAATGTACTTAATAAGAATATCGGTGCAATAAAGTGGAGTCTTAATTTAAACTGGGTAAATGCGCGAGACCTTACTCCATTGTCATTCAAAATACATAATATTACTTTGCTTATCAACTTTTGGAGATTATATATATATATATATATATATATATATATATATATATATATATATATATATATATATATATATATATATATATATATATATATATATATATATTTTATATATATATACATATATATATATTATATATATATATATATATATATATATATATATATATATATATATATATATATATATATATATATATATATATATATATATATATATATATATATATATATATATATATATATATATATATATATATATATTGAGGTAAACATGTGATATTTTTATAACCTCTAAGAAGAGATTTGATAGCATCAAAATGATGTTATTTTAGCATAGTTAGCTATGATCGCATAATGTTTATACATAGCACTGTAAATACGTCACAAAAATAAAAATAAAAGCCGAGTCTTTTCTTTCATAACCAAATTCTGTAAACAAAGACTAATTACTGTACTGAAATATTATAGCGAATCAGTGAGAGTAACACACACACACTGTAGTGTTGGCCTCACTCTCACCAGTGTGAACCAAGTACACCAACACTGTGTGAACCACGTACACCAACACCTTGTGAACCACGTACACCAACACTGTGTGAACCACGTACACCAACACCTTGTGAACCACGTACACCAACACTGTGTGAACCACGTACACCAACACTGTGTGAACCACGTACACCAACACTGTGTGAACCACGTACACCAACACCTTGTGAACCACGTACACCAACACTGTGTGAACCCCGTACACCAACACTGTGTGAACCACGTACACCAACACAGTGTGAACCACGTACACCAACACCTTGTGAACCACGTACACCAACACTGTGTGAACCACGTACACCAACACTGTGTGAACCACGTACACCAACACAGTGTGAACCACGTACACCAACACCTTGTGAACCACGGAGATGTTCGGGATACTTGGTTCTAACTACAGGAGCGAACATAAACACCTGTAGAGTTCTGTAGGTTCTTATTAACGGAAATATACAGGGGTGCGCTTACAAGCGCAGGTAGTCCTTGCACTCCTATAGGGTCAACTGACCTCACTCTGACCTCTCGGGCGACATGTGGTAAGTGGTATACTAGCAGCTTTCAGATGTCGCCAGGCACATTTATCTAAGCGTGTGGTGACATGAAACAGGGGCATTGCCACACGCTACTGACTAGAGAAACAATGTGTATATATAGAGTACATACATGGTATACATACAACATACATAATATACATACACCTCCCCC